CACCTCCCATTTCGAAATGACTCCACTCTGAATGGCGGCCTCAAATTTGTCGAGGTCAATAAAAGCCTCATTGTCCATCAGCTTCTCCAATTCCGGGATCAAAGCGGCCTGAAAGAGTTAGCTAGAATTAGAATTTTTGGCATTTTCCTTACCTTGTAGATGACGTGTGTCTCAACGGGATTCGGATCATGATCAAGGAGTCGGACTCCCGGGTTCGGCTTGTTCTGAAAGCGGAACGATTTTATCGGTTTCCTACTAAAAATACATTAACTAGCGTCATCGATTAGCTGAATACCAGCTACACAGCGGCCCGGCTCCTAAGAAAACGTCCGGTAGCTTTGGAAAGGAGAGAAGACCGCAACGCGTGCGATAGACGCGTCGCGCTATTGCGAAAGCAGGCCTGCGCAGCTAAAAACCGGTTGCTATTCCGCGCACCCGCACGCAACGCGCGAAAAACACGCACAGTACGCCCTTTCCCTTGAACCATCTGGACCGAACCCATGGGCGGTTGTGGCTACCATATTCGTGCAATCGTAGCTCTAAACTACTCCCAAAACAACTTCTACATAGCGTGATCGCTTCTCTGGCTGCCATTATGCAAATGTTTGGTCCAAAACAACGAGAAAAACGCTAAGAAGCTGTTTTTGGGGCCATTCGGGCGATTTTCTCACCCTGAATTCAATGGCAAATCCAGCAGTGGTCGTGATTTCATTTCGCTTGTACCCCATCAGCTTCATCAGGGCCAAGGTGACCTCGGTGTGCTAAAAATATAAGAAATTTGGCATCTTCATAATTTTCAAGGGACAGTAAAGCTACAAAATCTCCCCTTCTATCCACTAGGTCTCGACAGTTACGCTACAAGCCAAACGACGCGCACACTAAGAAGCGGATTTTGCTGCAAGCTGACGCAAAAAGCGTGAAAGGGGGAAGGGCTGCGTCAATTGGAGCGTTGCGTAGTTGTCGAGACCTAGTAGCTTTAAGGGGTCGATTTACTGACTTTCTATCACCTTTAAGACTTACCGAAGCGTATCCGATAATCTTTGGTCCCTTCCCATCCTTAGCCTTTTTCATGGCATCAAGAACATTCTTCAGCCAATATCCACCCATCATTCTACGGCAGTCTTCGTTTTCGGCGCAAGCGTTTTGGTGGGCTTCCGCTAGAAAATTCAGTTTAATTCATGGTAATTTCTAAATTTTTTAAGCTATTTGGCTCTCCTAAAAAGCAGAATATTTTGCGTTTTTCCGAAATTAGGAATCGAAAATTGAAAATTTTTGGGCAAAATCTTTATGATTTTTCGACCTCTGGATTGATGGGTTAAGTGAAATTACTGACCAAACTCCATATAAGCCTTGACGAGGGAGTCCTTATCATATCCGGGAAGAGTGGGATGTTCTAGCCAATCGGGAAGCGTCGCGTTGTACAGCTTGATCTCGATGATGTTGTCCGCCAAATCAGCCGCTTTCGAAACGGCTGCATCCCAACCCGTCTGAAAATGCAAGATCAGAAGTATCAACAATCAAAATAATTCATCAGAAAGGTGGCTTTTACAAAATTAAAAAATTTAATTTTCAATTTTCATGAAATTTAATCTTTTCATTTCGAAAATTGATTGCGTGATCAATTAAATTGGCATATTAAAAGTGCTTTAATTTGCTGATGCTCAACCCACATTTTTGGCCATATAATCGAGCAGCACTTTTCCTTTCTGCTTCTTTTCGGCCAGCGGTCCCCACGTGTCGTCCGAAATCGGTGCCCAGGCTGGAATTTTTAAGAATTACCATAATTTTTAGATTTTTTGGAAAATACGATAATATGACAACCAGTTAACAGATTCCAAAGTCTAAATTACAAAAAAAAACACTTGATTTTGAGAACCGATTAGGCCATGAAATGCATCAATTCGCCTTCTTCGAAATATGTCAGGAAAATAAAAAATCCTGATTTTTTGCTCTAATTGTTAAATTGGCAGCCAGTTTACACGTTGAAAAGTGGAAATTTGCGACATCTCGAATTACCGTACCCTTATCGCTGTTGGGGCAGTCGGAGACGGCGTACATCCTCAACATCGGATCATCAATAGAGTAAGGGACTGGGGACCAATTGTCGAATTTTTTGCTCCAATCTCCCCAGCCAACTGGAGTATACAGACCGGCGGTTGAGGCCTAAAAATCGGTACTGTAAGATAAGGAAGGATACGCTAGGGTACGATAGGATACGATAGGATACGACAGGGTGCGGTAGGTACGGATGCGTACAGTACGATACGCTACGAAAGTACACGCTACGTGCTATAGGGCAGGCCATACTCTACGGTAAGATACGTTAGGGTGCTTAATCTATAACCTGGGTACCGCAAAGAACAATAGGCTACGCTACGCTACGTGAAAATACGCTAGACTTTATATAGTACGCCACTGTACGGTATGGAAAATTAAGGCAAGCTGAAATACGATTCGGGAGGATACGATAAGTGGAAAACTACGTTTCTGTACGCTAGCCAATTTCGCGTAAATTGGAATGCTGTTGACACTAACGACTGCGGAGTACGCAAAGCTACGATCCGATACGGTGCTGTACAGTACGGTACGACCCGTCGTCGACATGGTGCATTACGGTATGATGCGATACCTGGAGTGTCATTTGGCATCTAGCGGCCGATGAACTGAAGAATGAGGCTTCTTTTGGTAGATAGTTGTCATCGAGGAACCCCTTGCCGACGAATTGCCGCAGAGCCGTACCAAGGCCGAGGGCTTGAAGCTTACCGAACTGAAAAGTACATAGGAACTTGTAGAATTTTGGACTTCAATAGAAGATAGAGAGAGAGCGAGAGAGACAGAGAGAGAGAGAGAGAGAGAGAGAGAGAGAGAGAGAGAGAGAGAGAGGGAGGGCGGGCGAGCGAGATAGGGAGAGGAAGAGAGCGAGAAGGAAAGCGACAAACTGGAGCAAAACGCACCCTGGTCAGCTCCATCGGCCCTTCCAATCCCCACGACTTCTCCACGGGATTTACAAAGTTCTCCGGGTTCCGGTTGCCGTGTCTATAGCATTTTCATGTAGTCTGGATGACAGTTAGAAAAATCAATAGATTTTTTGTAAAAATGAACAAAACTTGACAGCTAATATTATTAATTCGATTCCAAAATGTTCAAATTTTGCACTTTTTCTTTGGAATTTAACAGCTTCAGTAATACTTAATATTTTTATTATGCTTTTTTAAACTGGTTGTCAGCTTAAAGAAATCAATTAACATTTTGGAGTAAAGTTAAGGTATAGATTAGAAGATAAAATTTGTTTCCAATAAAAAATTGAAACTTTGAAGATTTTTTTGCAAAAATTCGGACTTTAGAATCTTTCAATAGCTTTTTCCAGTTTTTTTTCAAGTTACCTCATTCCATAGAGCACGAGCACGGTATCCGGGTGTTTTTTGATGGATTGTTTTGGGAGGAGAACCGTCTCCTCGGCCACAGTGAATGTGGCCAACCACAGGATTGGGAACAGCGCCGCCACGCACGCCATCTAAAGTGTTTTTCTCGGAGCGGAAATGTACAATAACCCAGCTGATATGTTGTCTGACTGACAGCCAGAAAAGCGGAATCCACGAGGAACGTCAAGAATTTGAAATTTTGAGAAAAATTTGGAGTTTTTGGAAATTCAATTTAAAATTTAAATGATTCAACTTTTAAGTGTTTTTATTAGATTCACGAATACAATAAACTAAATAGTTTTATATCTATAAAAGCAAACTGGCAAAAAAACGGAATTGTGAAACGGAATAGGAAAGGAACAAGATTTTTGAAAAATTTGAAGCCTTTTTTCGTTTATTTCCGCCATATTTGTTTACAAAACTTACGTTTTGCATGAAATTGGTGTCGAAAAGATTGAGCCTCCGAGCCCTCCCAGAGTGTAAATACACCAAGGAGAATAAATCCCCAAGGGAAGACCCGGATTGCCACCTCATTCTTCCGGCCCTGTCTGCACTCATTATCGGTTATGCGCGTTCGGTGTTCAGTGGTAGTAATAAAGTGCATTTGCTAAAGACCTGCAAAGGATTAAGAGAACAGGTTTATTAGAACAGTGACGGAATATAATCGGCACATGAGAAAAGGTGTCTGAGGGAAATACAAGTGTCGAAGGCAAGGCGGGCCAAGTTTGGCATGGGTGTCGAAAGGTTGCATTCGCCAGAGGTTTACTGTGCTCCGGATAGTGGTAAACCACGTCCCCGGCTCACAGCACTCTCACCAAGCCGTGCCGAAGCAACGACTGGCCGCAACACCCTTTCGGGATAGCGGGGGAATATGCAAGCATAATCACAGAGAGCGCCGGGAGGGCGCTCACACAGCCCGCTACCGTAGTGGTCATCGCGGCGGGACCCCTGGCATATTGCCAACCCCTATTATCCCAGGTAATTCATCCTCGAAACTCCTAGGAGATGAAATCTCGTAGGAAAGTTTCGACACTCCCGGCCCGCGCAAGAGCCAGAAAGTGCCGCCCCGGTGAGGGAGCAAGGAACCTTACGAGGGGAGGTTGAGTGGGAGCCTCGCGGCGGCCCAAGAATTTACAAACAAGTCCGCCCGGCCCGGGGGAAAGGTTGGGGTACAGAGGGACCAATAACATGGTAGAAAATGTTCTGCACTGTGGGGGCGGGAGGACGAAAATGGATTAGATAAAAGCTAGGGGAGGGGGCAACTGACAATAAAATAGTTGGTCGGCGCTAAGGAGCCCGTACTCCTGCCGAACCAACTCGGGAAAGGGAAGGGGGATGACTTATCGGATTTTCGGCAGCGGCTGGCGTGTAGTGGACTTGAGGCTGGCTGGCGGTCGAGAAGAGGCTTGTGGCACTTCGCGTCGACGTCGTCTTGCGAAGTGTTGTCGACCTTGTACTCTTGCATCTTGCGCAGCCAGTCACGTGAAGTTGTAGGCGAGCATGGCGAAGGTTCCGAAGAACCTTGAGAGGGTGTCGAGTGGTGGTGGGGAGAAATCCTCTCACGAAACCTCCTTGTCACCATGTAATGTCGTAATGCAGAAAGGCGGTGACGCGAACTTGAATAACGTCTCGGCGTTGACGAGTGTCGTCAGTCGGCTTGTCGCGGTGCGGATGAAGGTCGGCGCGTCGTGCGATGGCCTTCTTGAAACTGAAGTCGCAGTTGGCGATTTG